GTATATTAGAATTTGACTAAGAACCTCTTACCTCGCTTCCCTGTAGGATCGATAAATAGGACTTCACTAGAGTCCTGTATTACTTGAGCGATACGTATACTTGCGTTTGAAATTGTGACAAGGTAAAAAATGGTGTTGATTCTAATTATAAATATATAAATCTGGGTTCATAAATTTTTACATATTAAAAGTTGCATCAAATTTTTGGCGCCATTGTCGGGGATCTAAATCTTCTAGCAGCGGTATGTCAAATTCTTGTATTTTTAGGTATATAAAAGTCGCGGTCAAGTTTTTGGCGTCGTTGCCGAGGATTTAAATCTTCTAGTAGTGATGTCAAATTCTTGTATTTTTAGGTATATAAAGAAGTCGTTGTCATTACGCCAAAGCTGGAGGCGGTTATCCCACAAATCTAAGAGTGTCAACCCTAGATATTTATGTGAGGTTTTTAGGTTGAGTTCAATGTGTCGTCGAGCTTCCTTTAGGTTACATTGCATATGCATGTTTGATATTGCATTTCTCTGGTGTGTGGATCATATTGTATGTTACAAGCATGATCATTTGAGCTCTTCAGGTTGAGCGGTCATCCTAGGTCGATCCCCGATCCTTTTGGGTTTGATTGGCCACCCCAGGCCGACCACCCTATCCTTTGGGTTTGATCAACCGCTACATGTTCATCGCTCATCCTGGGTTCGATCGGTCGTCCCTGGCCAGTCACCCATCCTTTTGGGTCACATTGATTACTTGGATAGATCCATCCACTTTTTTTATCCAACCGGCCACCAAGGCCTTGTCGATCGACCACTTGCATATTTGTATGCTTGTGCATCATATTGCATGCTTGTCTGCTTGCATGTTGTATCATATATTGTGTGTGTTTGTTTTTCATTGGCTTGAGCTGCAAATTCCACTTGCATATTTGTATGCTTGTGCATCATATTGCATGCTTGTCTGCTTGCATGTTGTATCGTATTCTATGTGTGTTTGTTTGCATGATCATTTTCATTGGCTTGAACTGCAAATTTCTCTGAGTTACTACTTCATCGACACACCGTTTTATATGGGCTACTGCCACCACGACATGCCCACCTCCGGGTCACTGCCTCCTCTGCACACCATTTTTTAACCCACTGCCACCATGACATGCTCATCTTTAAGTCACTGTCTCCTCAACACGCCTATTTGTTTTGGCTATTATCGCCATGACATGCCAATCCCGAGTCACTGCCTCCTCGACATACCCTTTTTGTTCGGGTCGTTGCCACCACGGCATGCCATCCCAGGGTCACTGCCTCATCAACATACTCATCTTTTGGGCCGCTGCCTTCATGGCATGTTGGCATGCCTAAAAAAGTGTTATTTTGATATATACATTTAATGCTCATTTTTAATGATATTACACTTTAATGAAATGTATTTTACATATTTTTTATTGCAGGTACAAGATATAAAGTTTTAGAGAAAAATGAGTGAAATCAAAGCAAAACAGGGTCAATTGGAGCAAGATAACACAAAATGAATTAGCACCTAGGCGCTAGACCCTTACATGAAAACATAGCCTGACGACATGGCGTCATGACCTAGCGTATAAGCTCCAGACAGTTATATTGGGCTTCTAGAAGGTTAGCGCCAAGGCGCTATAGTTGGGCGCTTAGACTCCATAATCGGTTTTGATGACTATGCATTGAATTTGGACAAATTTTAAAGGTGTATCTGAAGTGACTATTAAGGATTTTGAGAGTTATCATATAAGGAGTCAAGAGAGGCCATTAAGAGGAGGAGAGTGTGTGTCGTGTGGTGGTTTGGTGGTGTGAAGGAGAGCTTTTAGCGCATGTGTGTCTCTCTCTTGTAGTGAAATTGTAAAAAGAGTAAAGAACTTATCAAATGAACTTCAGAGGATTTGCTTGGGGAGAAGTTTAAAATAAGTACTTTGTAATTTTTTTTAGTTTTGTTTATTATGTGAACTTGAATTTTAATATAAATCATGTTTTATTGTAACATCCTAATGAGTTATGAGTAGTTTTCCTTATTTTTCTCCTTAGAATACGAATTAATCGTGTGTAGAATTAAAATTATTTAAAATTTCTCTTATTCTATATTTGTGATAATTCATTATTTCGTACTTAATTTACATATTCAATTTGACCAATTGGTATGTTAAAACTTGTTATGAAGCCATAATAATCCAGGAGGGCTATGTATTCTGAAACTAGTGAAAATTACATTAATCAGGTGGGTGATAAGGTAGCCCATTGTTTATTGCAAATAAATTGGGAGATAGGTTTTGATGGGTATAAATTGGTGATTCTAGGGTGACAGGCTAGAACTTGAACTAAATTGATATTGAGTTTGAAACTTAAAGACCATTTAGTCCTAAAGAGATGGCACTATGAGTAATCTAGGGTGATAGACTAGAACCAACACAACATAACCTTAGATTTAAGAACTTAACTAGAGGTTAGCTAATGTTTTTTTATGCACTCAAAAAAAGGTAAATAATATAATTGCTTCTATTTGCCACAAAATTACATTTAAACCTTTAAACATTTGATTCCTGAAGATCCGTCTCTTAGTCCAACATGTCTCCAACCTCATGAAGCCCGACCCCAGTTGAGTCAGACGGCCATAACAGGCCAGTCACTCCAATAGGTTCAACTGATTAACACTTTGAGTCATTCCCAAGCGGCGCCTCCAAAATGTCTAGAACCCCGTATCTACTTCAACGCTAGCTTGAGCAGCGTCGCAGTCTAAAGGAGGCGTAGTCTTTGTCCCTTTGCTTGAGGAAGGTCCCATCAACCTATTTAGAGTAGACATGATGGAGGAGCATGCCACTTCCCCAATCTCTTGCTCCACCGACAGAAGATGCACAAAAAATCTAGAAGCCTCTGTCGGGGAAGGGTAAGGGATGACCCCTTGAGTGATTAAATCCGACCCCTCTGGTAGAATTAACACCAAAGCAGGTTCCTGACCTTGTTGCTCAATCGCACCACATGGAGAGCTGACTGTCCAACCTGTTTATTGTTCAGACAGACCGTCCATGCTGTATGTTGTTTTTTCATAGGTGAACCACCTTCTCTCATCATGGACCCTTCCGCAGGACGACCGTTGAGCGAGTTTGATGACCCCACCTCGTCCACCGACTCAAATAATTTATTAGACACTTCAAGTTCGCCATAATGATTTTCAATAAACTTGGTTCTCTGCTTCATCACTTAGGACACCATTGCTAAAGCATTCTCGTTAAATGATCAATTTTATAGACCACCCGTTCTTCATGATCGCAAACAAAAGAGAGGAGAGGATTAGGGAAAAACACAAAAGATTAGGTTTTCCTCTTAAATTTTCTTATTACAGGGATCTTGGCACGAAATTCTATGAACAGTCAATTATTGCATATATTAATAGTCATGAATACAAAACATTTTTTTTAGAATCAGATTCTCTTGTCCTCCTCACAGCTGTCACTATCAAGAAACAAATGAATAGAGGAATTTAATATATACATAAAAAAAGTGTCAGCACAAATCTTGGAGACATATAAAAGCTAACAAAAAAGTATGACGTGGCAAGATCCATCCTAACTTGCACGAGAAAATGTTTGACTCAATGCAAGAATAGGGCGAAACAACCAGCACAAGGCCGACCAACCCATTTTTCTGCCGATAACCTTATCGCCTAAGGCCGCTCGACCCATTTCCAACAGATAGCCTTCCTGCCCACGGTTGCTCAGCCGTCTCTTACCAGGATAATTCTCCGGCCTAAGGCCGCCTAGAGCATTCGTGCGAAGGGAGCCTATTTTCAGAACCCCAATCATGTATAATTTAAAATGACAATAATAATACCCCTCTACTATGCTTACGTTATAGGAGTACTCGTGTAATCATAAGTCCTCATTTCTATAAATAGGATATTCATTTCATGGATAAAGCTTATACGATTTTAGTGTTCAAGATTTTAGTCATACTGTCATTATCTTCTATTTTTTTGGTGCTCTATATCTTATATTTGTTTCCCAAATTATTTTGGATTCAACAGTAAAATAATGTAAGTGTTATATATTGCCTGCGAGGTCAAAACCACCGTCTCTTCTTCGTCGTCGAGCCGGGACTCTATTTCAGGTCATAGCTTTCCCGCTTCAGCTCCATCGCCTTGCCTGAACACTAACATACCGCCGTCGTAGGAACATCCGCCGACATCGCGGAAAAAGAGATCATCTCAGGTAATCTTCACCTTCTTCCACCGCTCATCCTCTCAACTCTTGCTTTTCCCCCCTCGATTTACTCTGAAAATCTGAAACCCTAACCCTAGATATTGGACACGAGGTCCTTTCGATCCTGCTTGGGTGCAGCGGGGAGATCGAGAAGTTTCATGTCGTTTTGGTTTCGGGGAGTTTTTATTGTTTTGTATGGCCTATCACAGCAAATTTCTTTCTGTTAATCTCAACAAATCCTACGGCAAACCTTCGGTTTCTTCGTCGCCGTCCTCCTCCGCTGCCGGTTACGGTAATGGAGGCCCGCGATCCGCTGTTGGAGGTGGTGCGATGGTGGTGCTATCTCGACCTCGGAGCTCCTCTGGGGCAACCGCCCATAAACCTGCACAGAGGCTTGCTGTTCCGCCCCCCGTGAACCTGCCTTCACTAAGGAAGGAACACGAGCGTCTTGATCCGGCTTTGTCAAAACCTTCATCAGGCCATGGAGGGTCTGGGCTGGGAATTGGGAACAACTCTTCGATGAGTTGGACCAAGCCGACTCCACCGATGGAAGATTCTAGTATAAAGGCTGGCGGCTCAAGATCTCTGTCAGCAGTGGAGCAACGAAGTTTTAGCAAAAACTCTCTGCCGCAAGGTTTTATGGAGAAACCTGTTATACTGAGAGGGGAGGATTTTCCTTCTCTCATGGCGACATCTACCTATGTATCAAAGCAGAAGCAGAAGCAAGTTAGCGATAACACTGATGGGCTTGTAGAGAAAACCGAACCATCTTCTGTGGTGGATATGAGTTCAATTTTGAGATCATCACCTCAGATCAAGAAGAATGTCCAGGGCAGTGAAGGAGGATCAAAACGGCTGGTTTTGGATTCCCTGGAGCAATCAAGGCAGGGGGCTGGTAATTTTCCTGGTCCCCTCCCAATTGTGAGACTGAGGCACACATCTGATTGGGATGATGATGAGCGAGATAGGAATCATGTTGATCATTATGATGAAGCTCGTAGTTCTTTGTCAAGGGATGAAAGAGTTTATGGCCTTAAAAAAGGAAGATCGAAATTTTAGCTCTTGGAGGGTAACAGTTGAGCCAAACAGAGAAATTCTGAGTTCCCGTGCACTGCATGTTGATAAGGATCATTTTAGTTCCAGAAATTTAGCTATGAGTAAAGGAACTGGCAAAGAAAGCAACTATGATCGATTGGTTTCCAGTATGGGAATTGGGAATGGAGGAGTTACAGAAGGTTCAAATGACAGGGATGAAGTTTCCAACAATTGGCAAAGAGGGAAACCATATACAAACTCTATGATCTCTAGGGTTAAAGGTGGTTCTACAAATGACTCTCTACATAATTTCACTAAAGAAAGTTTAATGCCAAATGTTGGGAGATCTTATGCTGAGGATGCCAGTTGGGGAGGGAAGGATACTTTTTCTAGTGAAGCCATGTTAGATTTGAAGGCTAAAGTGCTCAGAAAAAAGAAAGAATCAGAGAAGCACACTGATATCTTTGACCCTGCAAGGGAATCCTTTGAAGCTGAGCTTGAAAGGGTTCAACTGTTACAAGAGCAGGAGAGGCGGCGTGTGATGGAAGAACAAGCTAGAGTAATGGAGGCTGCTCGTAGAGAAGCTGAAGAGAGGGAGAGAGTGGCGAGGGAAGAGGAAGAGAGGAGACGGTTACTCGAAGAAGAGGCGAGGGAGGCTGCTTGGAGAGCTGAGCAAGAGAAGTTGGAAGCTGCAAGGAGAGCTGAGGAGCTAAGGATTGCAAGAGAGGAGGAGAAGAAGAAGGTTCTCTTGGAGGAAGAAAGAAGAAAAGAAGCTGCAAGGCAAAAGCTGTTAGAATTGGAAGCCAGAATTGCTAGCAGGGAGGCTGAAGCTAATGCCAATGATAGGATGCATGAAAGAAATACTTTGAGGGATTCTGATCTTGCTAAGTGTGAGAAAACCGAAACAATGTTGGAACACTCTTCCGACTCTCCCTTATTCAATCTGTCCAGCATGAATAGGTTATCGGAATCAGGGTTCCGGCCTCACACTTTGAGTGTTGAGAACCATTCATTTGTTCAACATAGAAAGAACGAAAATAACTATTGTAATACAAACAATTCAACAATTAAATTCCAAGACCAGGATGGATTTTGCTCGAACAGAAACTTTCACCGGAAACAGTTTCAGGGCACTCATGGACCAAAGCCTATCACATCATCTTTTAAGAGAGGGGTGTCTAGTGATCAGGCTCAAACTGGACATAACTGGGATAGAAACAGGGATTTTGAACAATTTAATGGGAGATCCAAATTTGATTCTATGATTGGTGGATGGGAACATGGTCATTTTGATGGAAGCCAGCTTGAATCTTATTCAGAAAGGTCTTTCCAGAGCAGTGAGGTGGGTGACTCGGCCTCTTTTAATCGGGTTCGCCATTCTGTAAGGCAGCCTCGTGTTCCTCCGCCTCCATCCATGTCATCTTCAATTCATAGGAATGCTCGTGGAGCTGCGTCAGATGGCCCAAATTCATCATTTTCAGTGCACGGTGATGCAGGAATCAATCAAACAATCGGAGAAGAAGAATCTGATGTTCGGATTGATTATCATTGTGATTATCATCAAAGAATCATAGACTATGGAGTGGAGCCCAGAATACCTGAATTGATGGAAGAACCTGCTTGTTCTTCGTTGCAGACAGAGGAGAAGAATAGCCCAAGATATGATTCTCAGTCCTCTCTGTCAATCTCTAATCCACCTAGTTCGCCTACCCAACTTTCACATGATGAATTTGATAATTGCGGAGCTGCTGAAGAGGAAAATATGATCTTTTCTGAGGGCAAATCCATGATTCCAGAATTGGATGCTGAGAAAGATGATGCAGAGAATATACATTTATCCCATGGTGAAGATGATGACTGGGCTATTAACAATGAAAAAACTCAAGATGAAGAAGAAGAGGAAGATCATGATGAAGATCCAGATGGTAACCAGGAAGATAATGAGGTTCATGAAAGCTATGCTTGGAAGCTTCAAATGAAAAAAAAGCACGAAGACTTGAATGTTGTTGTTGAGAAATCAGTGGAAATAGGAGCTTCTGGACATTTTTTTCTTAACGAGGATTCCAAATATCAGGAAAATACTGGCATGAATGCGGAACATGTTAGTGATTCCACAGCAGAGCGTGTTTTTGCTGAGAAAATTTTGAACGCCTCTGCTGAAATCAAAGAAGAAACTGTTAAGGAGCAGGAAGATATGATTTTCGGCCTCGCAACAACTGCTGATCATCCTACTGACAGCATCAGAGCATCGAAAAACTCAGGCCAAAATCCTATTGTGGCAGTATCGCGCTCGCCATTGCCTTCATCATCATCGCCTTGCTCCGTCTCAGACTCCTTAGTTCCTCCTACACCTTCTGATCAGAATGATGAACCCGCCAAGCTTCAGTTTGGACTATTTTCTAGTCCTCCATTGATACCTTCTCCAATCCCCACCATTCAAATTGGTTCAATTCAGATGCCAATTCCTTTAAATGCACAGATAGATTCTTATACTCATATTCACCCATCACGTACTCCACTTTTTCAGTTTGGCCAGATATTATATACACCGTCTGCCTCTCAAAATGTGGTGCCTTTAGCTGCAACTGTCTCGTCCTATGCACATCGTTTACCTTCAGTTCACCATCTTATTAATGATGACCATGGAAGCTCTTCGAAGAACCAAGCAGGTCAAGTTTCTACTACAGCAAAGGGCTTGGAGAAAGAAAATTATGCTCCTTCAGCAGAAAAACAACCTGTTTGTGCTCCAGGGATCACTGATCCATCTCAAAGTAATTTGGATTCTGAGCGGTCTGCTGCATTATTAGATGTACCAAGGGATGATCTTATTTCGAAGAGACGGATAACTTCTGGTGTTTCTGATGAGAAGAAAGATTTTCACAACTTTATTTCCGGTTCAGGTAATTCTGAAGCTATTTCAAATAAGAACTTTAAATCCATGGTTTATTCTAAACGGGCACGAGGCAGACCACCTCTGGATTCATTTTCTTCAGCTAGAAATTCTGATATTAAAGGGAACAGAATGATATACAATGTAAGGAATTCCGGTACTTTATCATCTTTTGCGAGGACAGAAGCCTCATATGGAAATTCAAATCGGTTTCAAAGAAGACTTCGAAGGCATATTCAAGGGACTGAATATAGAGTTAAGGAGATTGGAACAAAGCAAATAAATTTCACTGAGAGTTTTAACTACAGTAGCTATAATGTGAAGCCCAATTCTGATCACAGTCTTGTGGGGATTGCCTCAAGAAATGTGGGTAGGAAGGTGGGTGTTATGAATAAATCAAAAAAGCTGATGAATGAAGAGGCATCCCTTTCTGGTTTACAAGACATTAAGAAAGAAACTTTGCAGGCCAGCATGGCTGCTTCAAGCGATTTTGCTGGCAGCAAAGAAAATTTAAATAAAAACGGGATTCTACTGGATGAAATTGATGCTCCTTTGTTGAGCGGTGTTGTCAGGGTTTTTAATCAACCTGGAATTGAAGCTTCTTCTGACGGTGATGGCTTTGTTGAGGTGAGGTCTAAAAGGAAGATATCGAATGAACGGCGAGGGCAGAGGGAGAGAGAAACCAATTCCAAGCATAAGGCTACAAGGGTAACAGATTATTGCTTATGCGGAATCCATTGCTTAACCAGGCAGCCCTTTTTTTTTTAATAGTGAGATGTGTCAAAATAGTCCTCAAACCCTTTGCAAGGATTCATTTTAGTCTGAGATTATATAAAAGTGTCAATTCAATATCCACTCTTTTAATATGGGCTAAAATAGTTCCCACGGAGGACTATTTTAGCTCTCATTCAAAGAATTTGGGACTAATTTGATATTTTTATAAACTGGAGACTAAGATGGCCCAATCTAAATAGCCAGGGGACTAATTTAGCTGTCTGGGGACTATTTTAGCTCTCATTAAAATGTCTAGGACTAATTTGATATTTTTATAAACTCTGGGATTAAAATGATTCATCTAAATATCGAAGGGACAATTTTAGCACTTCACTATTTTGGTATTACTTTGACATCTTAGGTATCTTATATGGTGTTTTTTTATCAGGTACCTCACAGGCATCGCAGTAGTTTTCCAAATAATGGAATTGCTTATAAACCCGATCCGGTTACGACTTTGGCAGTCGAAGCTGCTGCAAAAAACGTTCGTTCTGATCCTGTGATAGCACGAACAAAGCCATCGATGGATCTGGACGCTGCAAAGTTAACCACTACGAACATTACATGCCAGACAATAGCATCTTTTGTCAGTTCTAACGTGAATTCTGCTGATTATGATTCAAAATTTGATAGTTTTAAGTAAGGCTTTATTAGAATTATTTTTGTTGAAATAATTTCTTTTCTAGTTATGCTCACAATATCTCATACAGGTCCAGTCGCACGGCTTCTGATTTCACCCGAGCTAATGATGGAGCAAATGTTGAGCCAAGCTTGTACTTTGGTAACAGTATTGTTGCCCTTGATAAGGCTTCAGTGCCTTTAGGTACCTGGGGAACTGTTCACTTGAGTCAGCCGGTAACTTTCTGAGTATATTTAGGGACATTTACATACATGACACACAATTCTAATGTATTTACTTATCTCACACCTAAAATTTTATACTCGCACGCATATCACTCAAATCTTTAATATCACATAGAAAATGGAACTATTACCAATTTTTAAAAGTGAAATACACATTTTCATGCACAGGGTTAAAGCACCAAAATGCTGTAAGTGTGAAAGTGTAGGCTCTGTTCAGTATCTTTTGTGATCAGCGATATTCAATGGTAGGAGTATTTGTGGAAAAGATTTAGGTGCAATCCCAAGGAGAGAATAATCAATTATTAGTCATATATACTTTATGGGACATTTGCATGCGCACCACCTAATTCCTATGTATTTACTTATATTGCACATAAATTTTGTTTTTTTAAATTTATACCACTCAAGCCCTTCATATGAGATAAAAAAAATACCACCATTTTAAGTTTTTAAAAGTGAAATTCATCATTCAATGCACAAGTAAGATGGTATGCATGTAAAAATTGAAGCTTAGGTGTTAGATATGTAAATACATCAGAGTTGAGGGGTATGTATGTAAATTTTTCATACTCTGTTTATAGAAATGAGGTTACAAGGTTAAACTAAGTTAATTTGATTTTAAATTTGAGTAACGCCTAATAATTGTATCATCTAATTTGTTCTAAAGTTGATCCTAACAATTGAATGGAAAAACTTGAAGCAAATCCTAAAACATTTTAAAACATTATATTAATTTAAATTATTTTCCTGCGCTTATTAATTCTTTTGGACCTCATAAAACTCTTAGCATGAAGACTTACATAGAAGCTATTATTTTGGAAATCTTGTTTTACTTGGCGGAGGCGGCAGAAGAATTGCTTCTTGAATTTCTCTTGAATTTTCAGCATATGCAGGCTGGATGTAAGTTCCAGTTGGTTTGGATGTTGCTCTTGTGGCGTATCATACATTTTTCTCATTATATTATCTTATATTAATTTCATGTTTATACAATTGTGGTAACAAAACATCAACCTTTTACATCTTGTAAGTAACCAAATTCAATTTTGGATTATGTTGGCTGATATTTATCTTCAAGTGCATCTGTAGAACTCGGAAATCATTATTGATGAACTAAACACAAGTATAATATTATATACCTCGCATTTACAATACATACCGCTCAGTTCTAATGTATTTATGTATCTAACATCTAAACATTACCTTTTTACATTTATACCACCCAAAACTTTAATATCACATTAAAAATATCACCATTTTTCAAGAAGTGAAATAAACTTTTTCATGCAAACGTAAAGTGGTATGCATGTAAAAATTAAAATTTAGGTATTAGTTATGTAAATACATAAGAATTGAGTGATATGTATGCAAATCTTCCATTATTTTAACAGGTGAAAGTGATGCATATTTATGAATATTGATAGAATCCACTGCTAGTTTGCCTACACATTTGGAATTTATCTTTGCGTAGTTGTGTATCGTTATATACCACACTTTCGATATTGAGCTTTCCCATTCTCTAAAAGTTTCTCGTTTTTTCAGGCAGCTACCTCAATCCAGTCTCAACTTGAGGAGACCTCAAATCCCGTGCAATTTAATCCAGTTGTAGCTGCTGAAGTTTCTTCGGATGACAAGAAGCATGTGTCGACTAGTCTGACGAAGGAAAGGCTATCATTTTCCTCCGGGAATTTGCCCAACTTCCCATTTGATGGGGAGAAAATTCAGTTTGGTGAGTATTTTATTTAATGCAATTATAGTTATTGGGCATTTGCATACAAACCACCCAATTCCTTTGTATTTACATATCAAACAGCTAAATTTTTTTTTTTTTATTTCTAATACCCAAAATTTTAATATCACATGAAAAAAAAAACAACATTTTTAGCTTTTAAAATGTGAAATACACTTTCTCACGCATGGCTATGGTGGCATACATGTACAAATTGAAGTTTGTATGTTAGATATGTAAATACATGAGAATTGAGTGGTATGTATGTAAATCTTCCAAAATCATTTTGTTATGGTTTTCAAGCAGTCTCGCAGCAGATATTTACATATCAAACTCCTGAACTTTGTTTGCTACATTTATAAAACCCAAATCTCATGTCACATAAAAAAAATATCACATTTTTTAACTTTTAAGAAAGGTAAAATACATCTTTTCATGCACAAGTAAGGTGGCATACATGTAAGAAATGAACTGTGTTAGATATGTAAATATATAAGAATTGAGTGGTTGTATGTAAATCTTCGAAAATTCAAAATGATTTTGAAGGAGTCTCACAGCAGATTTGACTGATCCGCAGGTGCTGTCTCGTCGCGTCTCCACCTCTTCCTCCTCCCAGCCAAGCTGCGCCAAGTGGAATATGGTCCCCTGGATCTGTTATACTGAATTCATCAATTGTTCACAATTTACCTCGCAGTGAGAGAAATTTTTTTGATAAAGAGAAGAGCCATAGTGAGTCTTGTACACATCTGGATGATAATGAGGCAGAAGCAGAAGCTGCTGCTTCTGCTGTTGCTGTTTCTGTAATTACTAATGATGATATTACTGCTTCTACGGTAGGCACGGACTCCATTTCTGGCATTGGAACAAAGGGGATAAGCTGTCCAGGTATTCATCTTTCTTGCATCTTGTAAACCTAAATCTTAAACCGCAAACCGTAAACCCTAAATCCTAAAGTAGGGGTGTAAACGAGTTGAATCAAGCTCGAGTCACCCTCGGTTTTAGCTTAAGCTTGATTAATTAATCAATTTCTAGTTTAATTCTACAAATTTGAGCCAATTTGTTTATCATGAAAGAGAATAATAGCAAGATTTACATGTACCACTTAATTGGTATGTATTTTCATATCTAACACCCAAACATGAATTTTTGCATGTCTGCCACCTTATGAAAATTTGTTTTTCGCTTTGTAAAGGTTAAAAAGTGGTATTTTTGATGTGATATGAAAGATTTGGGTGGTATGAATATAAAAAGTAAAATTTTAATGTTTGATATGTAAACACAAGAATTGGGTGGTATCTATGCAAATGCCACAAAATAATATTAATTCAAAATAGTGTTATAATAAAATGATGAATAGAATGAGCATTTAGGAAATAATAATAATAAATCACTTGATATAAAATGTAAAACATCAAGTTTTAAATATTTTATGAAGAATTTAAAGATAAAATGTTAATATTTAAAATATTTGAGTATATTTCATGTTAATTATATTTTAAGCAAGCCAACTCACAACCTAATGGGTTTCAGGGCTGTTTTAAGCTTTAGCTTGCTATATGATCGGGCTCAATTCACAAGCCACTTATTGCGCAGGCTCATGAGTTAGCTTGGCTTAGTTACACCCCAACCCTAAACCCTAAATTCTGATAAAATGCAATGTTTATTGTAGATGCGATTAGCTACACGAATACAACTGGCCAACTCGCAAGCAAAGAGTCGTTGATTGTTACTCTTCCAGCGGATCTTTCTGTTGATACCCCGCTCTCATTGTATCCCCCTTTACCAACCATTCAATCTCCTCGCCCCATCCTTTCTAATGTCGGCACGACGCAACATTCCCATTTTCCTTACTTCGATACAAACCCCATGCTAGGTGGACCCATATTCACCTTCAGCCCCCAGGACAAATCGATCGTAGCTCAGGAACCACAACAACCGAGTTCAACTTTTGTTTCGGGGCCCACCGGCACTTTCCCGCAATGCCATTCTAACGTTGAATCGTCGTTCTATGGGTCTCCGGCAGGGTTTCCTGCTCCATTTATGAGTTCCCCCGCTGGACTTTCCGGCATTCATGGCCATCCGCCGATGGTCTTTTACAATCACTTTGCCCCGATTGGGCAGTTCGCTCGAGTCGGCCTTAGTTATATGGGCGGCACTTACCTGCCCTCTGGGAAGAAGCCGGAGTGGAAACACACCAGAGATGGCGCGACAGCGACGAATGCGAGCAAGGCTGATCCCGGAGATCTAAACGTTGTTTATGGACAACAAAATGTGGCCCATGCGGCTAAATCGATTCAGCATTTGGCTAATGGATCAGGATTCATGCAAGTAAATTCGCCCTTTACTCTGTTCAATCTTCGACCCTTCCAGGTATTGTTTTCTTTTCCTTAATCTTTGAGTAACGATCGAAATGGTTTTTAACCTTGATTTTTTAAAGGGAAAGCTACATCCATAACACTCAATTCTTATGTATTTACATTTCTAACACCTAAATTTCAGTTTTTACATTTATGCCATCATACTTATAAATTAAAGGGTGCATTTCACCTTATACAAACTGAAATAGTGATACTTTTTACAAGTCACTCATTTTTTGAAACAGAGTTGCTAACAACAATGATTTGAGAAATTTGCATTTATACCAAACCATTCTTATGTCTTTACATATCTAACACCTAAAGTTTGATATTTACATTTTTATTTTGGTGTCGTAAATCTATGCATAAAAGATGTGTTTCACTTTTTGGAAGTTAGTAATCGTTGTGTTTTTATGTGATGTTATTGATTTGAGTGGTATGCATGTAAATATCGAAGTGTAGGTGTTAGATATGTAAATATTGCATGTAAATATCGAAGTGTAGGTGTTAGATATGTGAATATTAAGAATCTAATAATATTGGTTTATAATCTTTAAGCATGCACCGTCTTTATTCACATTTCAGATTCATAGAACTTGGTTTCTTTATCTTGCACAATTGTTGCAAGTCTTTTTACTTGGAAGTTTTTCTGTGTCGCATTTACATGCACACCTCTCAATTCTTATGAATTTACATATCTAACACCTAAATTTTACTTTTTATATTAATACGGCCCAAATCTTTCATGTCGCAGTAAAAATATCATTAATTCAACTTAAAAAAAGCGAAATACATCTTTTTCATCCATGGGTGAGGTGGTAGGTATGCAAAAATTATAGTTTAGATGTTAGATATATAAATACATAGGACCTCATTGGTATGTTTGTAAATCTTCCTTTTTTTAATGTTTTTTTTCACTTATCTCCTACTATTTAGGAAAAATTATTGATCCTATATACACACAACTCCTAACTCAAAAAATTTGAATTTGATTTCCAGTCCTCAACAGAGATACCTGTTCCAGCCCAATGGCCACCCATCCCACACCCTCATTCTCCCAATCCTATCCAACTCCCGACGCCGCCTGAACGGCCCAATATCGCTTCTCCCAATCCGCCTCGTTCCGCCGCCATCGATCTCCCTGACGAGCTCAATCTCATCGAATCTTCGACCGCCAACTCTATCATTTCAGGAGATCGTTCGACGAACGGCAAAAATGATTCGAGCGGAATTATTCCAGATCCAGCTCATAAGCCAGGAGGATCTCCTCCTCCTCAGAAGATCAGTGCTGGGAGCCAATATGGCCGAAGAAACACATTTAATAGAAAGTATGGGAGCAACAATGCATCTAAAGTGAGACAAATATATGTTGCCAAATCTCAGCTAACCAGTTCTGGAGCCTCAAGCTGAAGTCTTTTTTTTTTTTTTTATTTTAG